TATGACGTCATAATGTGTACTGGCTATCTCATGTCGTGGGTACCAAGTATGTATTTGACAATAGGTTTTAACTTTCTCTGTATAATAGATATAGCCCTGAGGCATTTTAATTAGATTATTTGCATAGTAATGCCTATACCTAGCCTTAACTCACCTGCGCACTCGTTGCTCGCAACGAGATCTCATCTAGTTATTATTATTATTCTTTTTTTTTCTTTACAAAATTTGTGCAGAAGATTTCTCAGAGATGGCTCGTTCGATTTTATTCAAATTTTCATGGTAGATGCGTTGACATCTGAAGTTAATTCCGGCAATATCGTTTTTTAAAAGTCACTTCCGGTCGGAAGTTATCGCCCTTTTATTAAAATTCAGAGGACCTCCTTGTCTGCGATGGAACTCAAAAACGGCGTAAGCTAGAGCGCTGAAATTTTCAGTGATGATAGAGGACATGTTGCCATATTGCACCTGTGTTTAGATATTTTCCGGAAGTGCCTAGTATGGAAGCTCGGTAGGGGTAGAAATTTAGGACACGAATCATGAGTGAATTTTTGAGATATTTTGTATCATATCTCTTAAAGTATAATTATTTCGTTAAAACATATTGAACAATATTTGTGCAGAATAAAAAGATCTGTAACATGATATCAAGAAAAAAGGGCTGACTCATCACATTAGGGGCCGATAGGGGCCTAAAATTTTTAATCGATAACTCTTAAACAACCAATATTTTTGTATACATTACTGAAGAAAAATTATTTATCTTAACAAACTACAACTATATATTATGATTTTTACGTCATATGTTACATAAATAAGGGCCACAAGGGGCCAGAATGCTTAATCTTTGATGCTTTATATCTCGAAAAGGGGAAACATTTTGAAAAGCAATATTGAACAAAAGTTGTTTAGAATGATGATCTGAACAATGTGCATCCTTTGAATTTTTCCTAAACAGCCCCTATAAGGACTTAAAGGGACGGCCCCTAAATATTTCAAGTCTACATATCTCGAAAACGAAACGAAACTTCTGAATAGTTGTTGAACAAAAAGTCTTCAGAATCACAAGACCTTTCATGTGATATCAAGAAAAAGGGGCTGATCCCTCAAATTAGGGGCTCAGAGGGGCCAAAAAACTTTCATCTATAACTCCTTAACGTTAAATATTTTGATATTAATTATTGAAGCAAAAATGTTCATCTTCACAATCTGCAACTATATATCTTAAAATTTTCTTCAAATATTACGTAATTAGGGGCCATAAGGGGCCAGAATGCTTAATCTTTGACGCTTTATATCTCGAAAAGGGAAAACATTTTGAAAAGCAATATTGAACAAAAGTTGTTTAGAATGATGACCTGAACAATGTGCATCCTTTGAATTTTTCCTAAACAGCCCCTATAAGGACTTAAAGGGACGGCCCCTAAATATTTCAAGTCTGCATATCTCGAAAACTGAATAGTTGTTGAACGAAAAGTCTTCAGAATTACAAGACCTTTCATGTGATATCAAGACCCCTCGAATTAGGGGCTCAAAGGGGCTAAAAGTCTTTCATCTATAACCCTTTACAGTAATATTCATCTTCACGATCTGCTACTATAAATATTTTAAAATCGTCTTCAAATATTGCGTTTTTTGGTGCCATAATCATCAAAATTTTGTTAAACATAACCGAAGAAAATTGTACGTTTTCACTATTTATATATTTATGAACGAAAATCTCAGTCAAATTCGTATCTCATGTTATCAAAAATCGGACGGAAGACCCACTCGTTGCTCGCAACGAGATCGCATCTAGTTCTATTTCTAATTAGGGATGGTTATATTTATCAACACAACCTATGTTTTAAGCTCTCCTATACACAAATTGGCATATTCAATACAAAGTTTCAAAAGAACTGGAGCCAGCACCGAGATGACATTATTTGTTATTTTTTTTTAAAAAGAGAGAGAAAAAATAATAATCACGAGTTCCCTCCAACTGCTTGTTATTGCCTTTTACAGTTTAGAATTTTCTCAACAATTATTAGATAATGTATTAGATAATAAAAGAATGTCAATTTTATATTTTATCAAGTTTACGTTATCCTCAACGAAACTGTCATTCATATAAAACTAAATAGTTTATCAATAGGTCATCGATCTCAAAATACCTATAATCTAGAGAAACCTGTGAAAAGGGACACAAAATATGGTAGGATTAGGTGCTTAGGAGTATACATCCACTCTCGACCGGTCACACCCTTCTTGAGCCCTATGTTTGTATCATTTATATGGACGGAATAATACGTGGCATAAAAACAAAAAAGTATGAAATATTTAAGCCAAAATTTTGATGAATTTTGATACAATGGTATGTGTAAATGTTTTACAAGGAAATCAATTTAATCGTTTAAGTGGGGCTCTTTAAGGTCTTATTTTTCGAAGCAATATTGTGTTTAATAGAAAAAAGAAAACTGACAAATTCCAATGTGATATATGCAATGTAAATTTTGAAAGCTAGTCCATACATAAAAGTGCATATTTATGTGTCTTGCATTTGCCGCAGGTGTACGGTAATCAGAATATAAACCCTTGTCCTAAAGGTATTTGAGGAAACCATTGTGTGCTAGTATTTTGAACACCATATGTGTAATTAGGTCATCGTCAAAAAATAAAAGATTAATGGTGACAAATTAATATATGCATTTCATATTTTTGTGACATTGAGTGATGCGGAAACATGGAATTACATGCATAAATTTCTGTCTTCGACAAATGAAAATAAAGAAATTTCCTTGTATATCCATTGTCATTTTAAATATAATTGCCCTATTAAAGTATGTGAATGTTTCTTTTTTCTTTTTCTTTTTTTTTTTTTGGTCTCTTGTTTCAAAAGCCATTAATCTTCAATTAATCCCTGCAATAAAACTTAATTGGTAGATTACATCCTTTTATAAACTCACAAAAAGGTTTTGGGGGCTCGGTGGAATGGTATTTATTTAGCATCGATTTTAAAACAAAAAATTAGCTCTATGGAGCTGATTGCCGGCTACATTTAAAGCAAAAACAAATACACAATTTCATAGAGTGTACAACTTTACTTACCAGGGTCGATTTGTTGAGAAGCTCTTTCAAAAGTTAAAAACATTTTTAAAGAGTTTTGCTTAAAAGCTATTGCAACTCCAGGTAACTTTATATAACTTCTAATAATAAATAGATTATATTCCTTTTTTTTCTATCAAATCTTCTCTTCTAAAAATAGATTGCTTAGAATTAATCAAAATATGACTACATTGATTTCTTTAGAAACAGTTTGCACGGATAGTGCACCTTGAATCCAAATAATCGTTTAGGAGGTTAAATTATTGTCAGAGCCTTGTGGTTTTGTTTTAATCTGTAAAGTTGTAAAGATCACAGTTGTGTAAAAAGTGAAATAAAGCATTAATGGAAAATTAAAAAGAACATGAGCACACATTGAACATTGTGAAAAGCCTTTTTATAATTTTTACACACAACTACAAATATTTCCAGGCTTCACTCATTGCAATTATTTTTCTATTTTTGTTAACGTAGAAAACGGATTAATGTAACATATCAAATGTCGTTGATTTTGTAAAATCAGGATCATAAGTACGAAAATTGACAAGTTTATCATAATTCAAGCTGTGCACCTTTTTTTACAATCCGCAGCATGTTTAAAATCCTTCCTAGTTTTACCGAAACACTATGATGACATCAATATCCTGTTATAAAATCTGCTATCATATTATCTTTTGATCCGAAATTGCTGACTCAGACCATCATATTTGTTGTAAAACGAGATTTTACAATAGATGTTGTCTGTATAAACCGTATCAAACTTTATTTTAACTATGGGTTTCTCCATATACACCACCAAAACCAAACAAATATTAAACCCTTAACAAAATTAGTGATTTCACATTATTTCATTAAATGTCAGTTTAATATAACTACAATGTTAACAAGTTGTTTTTAATCTGTTTTATTTTTCACCTAATACACATTCACAATTGATAACAGTTTGTTCTCTGATCTTTAATAAAAAAAAAAGCAAACTAATTAACATGTACTTTAGATTAATTCTACAGCGCGTAGACATGCATAACAAATTAATGTAAACCAAAACAGCCAAGTTCTCGTCAAATTGGACTAATTTCCCCCTTAATTATCAAAAGTATAGACACAATCGCTTTGTTTTATTTAAATTAATGTATATATAAAATTTTGCAACTGTTTATAAAAAAAAACAAAATAGGAGCAAAACAATATTGAGTTCAGATGAATGATATATTCTCCTAATCGGACTTCAGAAGAAAACTGGAATAAAACACGTTTAATATATACAAAAAGTATTAACGTAAAGTAAAACAGGGGTAAATTGATACATCATATTTTTATCAAAAAAGTATACTACATAAAAGATACTCTCTCTCTCTCTCTCTCTCTCTCTCTCTCTCTGTGTGTGTGTGTGTGTGTGTGGGTGTGTGTGTGTGTGTGTGTGTTACTTCGAAAGTAAAACATTATAGCCCCTGAGGCATTTATGGATATCTGAAGGACAAACAAGTCTTGTACACAATAGAACTCTCTATCGCATTTGTCAAAATAAAGGAATAATCTTGTGTAGAGAATTTTAGTACTGTAATAGGTCAAAAAAGAATGATAAATAAAAATGAGTGTAATTGAAAATTACTTGAAAAGTGTTCATCTGCTACGTTTCAAAAGGCGACAATCAAATAATAAAATAATCATCTGCATCTTTAAGCATTTGTGACAGTAAAAAAAAAATTGATTGACGTTCTGCTTAAATGTGATGGCTATTTTAATTACTTTTTTTTTAAATCATGTCTTTGAAAACGATATTAACTTGATTAATGTATCACTAGAAAAAGTTCAGTTTAGTTACTCGCAAAACAAAATGTTATGATAAATCATCAAGTCTTATATGATTGCCAAAAACAAATGTGCTATAGATCAAAGCATTCAGTATCAAGAAATATCCATGGGTTACCCATTCTTTTTAATGTTATGAATTTTTTTTATAAATATCCCTGAACTCTCATATTGCTATACGTCATTACCCTTGTAAATAAAGAATTGAAAATAAAGATATCAGTAAAAATTCTTCTTTCACTTGGCTTCTTTCTCTTTGTGGCTTATCATCTCTTCCAAAGCCTGAAAATAAAGTTTATTTTGTTAGAATTGGCAAACTTGTTTTGTACTGATGCCCGTTAAGGCCAGTTCAGAGAAAGAAATATTTTTTATTGCGTTTAAACGCAAAAGTATTTCGTATAAGCGCAAAAAGTATTGCGTTTAATCGCAAAAATAATTGCGTTTAATCGCAAAAATATTATTGCGTTTAAACGCAAAAAGTATTGCGTTTAATCGCAATAATCATTGCAATTAAACACAAAAGATTGCGTTTAATCGCAATGTATATTGCGTTTAAACGCAAAACACTTTGCGTTAAATCGCAAAAGATTGCGATTAATTGCAATCTTTTGCGTTTAAACGCAATAACTTTGCGATTAAACGCAATAGTTTTTGCGTTTAAACGCAATAATATTTTTGCTATTAAACGCAATTATTTTTGCGATTAAACGCAATACTTTTGCCTTTAAACGCAATAATCTTTTAATTCAAAGACAATAATCTTTGTGTTTAAAGGCAGTCATTTGTATTACACCTTGCAGTGTACAGTGGACCCACGCATACTTATATCTTTTATTTCTTTCTCTTTTTACTCATGAGGACATTGCGTATTGTTTAGCTTTATAGAATCAGAATTCTCCGAGCAAACCCTCTCTGAAAGGATAAATCACTAATAAGAATTGATAGAGGAGAAAAAAAAAATGTCGGGTTGTAAAAACAGAGGCAACCTAAGAACGAGACATGTCTTAAGCTTATTATTCTCTACATTCTTAATGAAGTTTTGGAGAGTTGCTCTGTTTAAAAAAACTGTCCCCTACGTTGCGGTCAAAAGTTTAACCCATGTATAAAGGGATTTTTTGAAAGGACTGAGGAAATGTTGGAATTACGTACAACATGATGAAGTATTTAGACTTTAATGTACATTCATAACCCTTCCTATGGTTGCACACAGTAAACACAAGAACATATGTGATGGGTTTATATGAGATAAAAATCAAAATCAAATGAAAACAGATTGATTGATGTGCACTACATGTATCAAACTGAAAAGTGCTATTAATACCACTGAAACATTCTCTATAAGTTGTGATATACGTCAGCAATTGATCGGAGACTTCATTAAGAGTTTTGGGTTCTTATACATTTAAGACATTCAGGTTGTTAGGATGCCATTGTTTTGCTAAAATCTTCAAAAACTGAAAAAATTTGCAAAAAGACACAGAACAAATCGGATCTTCCTAAAGTTGAAGTGTCGGATCCTAGTACATGTACATGTAATTATAAGCTTTGACTAATTCATGTTTGATTTTGAAACTACAGTATCATTGTGTTTAAATGCAAAACAAATCCTTATATGGAAGGATTACTGCGTTTAAACGCAAAGATTATTGCGTTTAATCGCAAAAATTATTGCGTTTAATCGAAATACTATTGCGTTTAATCGCAAAAGTATCGCGTTTAATCGCAAAAATTATTGCGTTTAAACGCATAAATATTATTGTGTTTAAACGCAAAAACTATTGCGTTTAATCGCAAAAGTGTTGCGTTTAAACGCAAAAGATTGCGTTTAATCGCAATCTTTTGCGTTTAAACGCAAAGTGTTTTGCGTTTAAACGCAATATACATTGCGATTAAACGCAATGATTATTGCAATTAAACGCAATGTTTTGCATTTAAACGCAATAATTATTGCGTTTAAACGCAATGAAAATATTTCTCTCTCTGAACTGGCCTCAACGGGCTTCCGTAGTTTTGTCAATCTAGAAAAAGATATTTTCCTCTACCATATAACATAAATATATAATTTTTCTATGTCTTTCCATTAAAATCATACAACTTTTCGTCTCATAAATTCTCTAATGACAAAGATATGTTGAAAAAAATAAAAACGTAAAGAAATTTTAATTTTTAAAACTCGGAATGATGTTTTATTGCTAAAAGTTGCTTGGTAAAATTTGATGAAATGCAAATTCTATTTATTGTATATTGTCATTTTTCTTCTATAATAAACATAACAATAACATAAGATTTCATCAATTTCCTACTACTATATACATGTACGCATACGTATATTTGTCATAATTTCAAATCATCTGAGGAATGACCCTGCTCATAAAACCAAATAAAGGAAAATATGCTATAAAAAATTAACAAAGTAAGGAGATTTGTTCTTTTTACATCTAGCATAGTGGCGCAGTGGTTAGAGCGTCTGTTCTAGAGCCGCGGAGTAAGGAGCTGATCCCTACGTTGCGGGTTCGAACTCCACTGTGGGACGTGGAGACAGGTACTTCGGATGAGACGGCCGTATAAACCGAGGTCCCCTTGTCGCAGTTGGTGCTGGCACGGAAAAAGATCCCTCACTGTTCAATGGCCCTGAGTGCCGAGTATGGGTCAAAATTTGCAGCTCTCCACAGGCAAGTGGTGGCATCTCCTCTCTATATGAGTGAAGGATTCTCGAGAGGGACGTTAAACAACAAACAAGCACACACACATACACACACACAAATAGAGAGAGAGAGAATCAACACTTGCCTTTATTCGTTGATTCATATTTTCATATATTAAATCCATATTTGAATAATATTTCTCCAAAGTTGAAATCCTGACATTTCTGCTTTTCAACTCTTTGATATACTCTATCCACAACTCGAGTATTATGGAAGTTTCTCTTTTCTCCCTGCAGATCATAATAGTATACTCAAAAAATACTTTCTTGATATAATGAAATTAAAATTAGTCTAGGCAGTGTGTATAGAAAATTCTACGATAACTTTTCATTTTTTTTTTTTACTATTTCATATTTCACTCAATTAATCATATGATTGTTTTTTGCTTCCGCAGTTATTTTAGATCTATCGATGATGCAAGTTACATGTGTGCGTATTACTAACTAAATGCAGAAGATCGATGTTCTGCTACATGTAATCAAACCGGTAAGTTTTTTTTTTTTTTTTATTTTTTTTTTTTTTTTTTTTTTTTTTTTTTTTTGTCATCGACATTTATACAGAGTAATGAATTGATAAAAAAAAAAAATGTAACGCATTATTAGTTAGGCAATATTCAAAATTAGCGATTTCTAATTAGGAATGATCAATAATTTCTTAAGAGATATTTTTTATAAATATCAAATAAAATAAATAATATCAACCAAAACATTTTTTCTTAAAAATAATGTAAATCATATTGAATCTTAGTCACTGAAGATACTTAACTTGTGAGAATTCATATCACCCTCTCCTTTGGCGTATCCTTATTAATTAACATATTCAATGGCCCTGATTCGGGTTGTGACTATCATAAAGATACTTTTCAGATATTTGTTAAAACTCCACTAATACAGTAGTAAATCAAAGCTTATTTGAAGACGTTTTTACTCACATACTTCCAACGCCCAATGAATGTCTGGTATTCTTTCCATTCGATTGAATGGAATTACTTTTCCTAAGATCATCTAAAGAGAAAGCAAACAAAAAGTGTTTCATATTCGCACAGGTAACAAAACAAGAAATGCATTTTTATCAACATGCAGTGATTTAATCTTATTTCACTATTATTCCATTAGAAATGTAAACCAAATATTCCACCAACAACAGCACAAAATATTTACTAGTAGGAATCGTACCTTTTTGTAATTCATTTCTCTTTTTCCTTGCACCATAAACAACCTTTGAATGATTAAAATATTTTTTCTTCATTGGAAAAGAGCAGACTTACTTTGGTTAATAAAAAATCGTAATAAAGGTTAAATGCAAATGTTTCGTATGTCCTACTGTGTACCTTTTTATACACATCAAATGTTGCATAAATGCAATTAAAAAAGCTACGCGACAGGTGGGCGTCTTTGCACGCCGTATTGAAATGCTAATTGTCTAGTATATGTTTGTCATGCAGATCCACATGATTTAACATCCAGTAGGATCATAAGAGATGTGTTTTTTAAGTGTGACAGCTATTTTTTTTATTTAAAAAAATCAATTGAGATGTACAAGTATGCATTGATACTGAAATTAGGGTTATTGAATTATTGAACTTAATAATAGTACAGCACATACCCCCATATACAAAAATGGTATATATTTTGTAGTCTAGTTTCTTCGTTAGATAGAAAATACAGCAATTATTTCATAGTCATCGAGACGAGATATCTGTGAAGATTGTTCATATTTACTACAGTAAAAAACGCTTAGAGCGAACACGCTTATAATGATTTGACGTTAAAAGTGAAGTGATTTTATTCCCAGTGACTTATAATAATTATATTGTTAATTTATCAGATATGATAAATTACGTCTATAACGAAGTAAATTCGTCTGTCCCTTCCACATAAATATACTGTTATAAGCATGCTTTACCAAATAAATTATGTACGCATCAGTTGATTCAATTCCATTCAATCTTAAACCATAAACATAAAATATCGAATGAACTTGTCATTTGCATTATTATATAGTCAATTATCCAATAAAAGATCAACACTTAACGCTACATAAAATGGCACATTTTTAGTTCAAGAACCTTAAACCTCAATTGTAGATTTATTTGAAAAGTCCATTTTACAAGATGCAAGAGCACTATACATGTTTGAGCTTTCCTTTTGTAGTTTGTAAGACTTAAATTTTCATCATAATGTTATGTGTCATCTTAAGGTTTTTAAAACGTCTGTTATTTTGCTTGGATTAATTATCGCTAATTAATTACGACTCAGAAGTAAATCGGATACTGTCTTAGTCTATCTCAAATAGCGTAACTATACATGATAAAAAGAAATCGAAGAAAGAAAGATAATAAAGAAGGGAAATTTTAAAATGTGAGTTTGGATCTATTCTAAATTTGGAAATGCTTTAGGACTATCTATAAAAGGAACAATAAACAAAAATTGCAAGTAATAAATATGTGTGTGGGTCGTTCCAGAATTGATAATTAACTGTAGATTTGGAGAGAATTGTTCTTGGTTGTAACAGTCAGGAACTAGATCTAGTTAACGTTCACTTAGTTTGTTAATACCATTAGGGAAGAATGACTTCAGTCTGTGCATCCAGAACTTTTTTTTCAAAATATGTACTGCAAAAACAATGGCAAAAACTTGGGCAATTCATTGCCGTGTTATATTCGATAAATAACCACTGATGTAGTTACTTCTTCAAAGTAACAAAATAAATACTTTGAATACATTTATATCAGGATACGCACATACAAGAAATTTACAAGTATGAATATCTCAAACATCAAACTCGTTCTTTACTCTCTTTTTTTCTTGGCAGTTATCGGATTAAGGAACAAAGGACAGGAAGTATTGTAAAATATGAGAGATGGCATCAATTTTTTTATTGCTTTAAAATTTGGCATCAATAGAATAAGGACAGTTTAAATATAGACTGATTTTATCAGCTAAGTCTGTGCCTTATTTCAAAGGTCGTTTATTTCAGATAAAAATGCTTTTAAGTTTAAAGATTGCATTTTGTCATTCATAAAAGAGCTTAGGAATTCGTTAAGTCTCCCTATTCATAGGATATTACTGTATACGGGGAAAACAGTAAATGGTTTTTGTTCAAGAAATTGTTAAGAGCAAAAACTATAAAGAATTTTTTTTAATCAAGAAAGAGTTAAAATATGTATCAAGAGGAAACCATAAATCTCTACATTCCGTAATGTGAAACTGTTATCATTTATTGGATTAAGTGGTAGGAAAAGGACGCTTGCAAAACATTTATCCTTGAAACATAATTATACTAAAATGAATCTCTTTTTTCGTTTCCCTTATATAATTTTTAGGTTGTCTTATTCATTTATTTACTCAAAAACCTTTACGTCATAGGGGCCGTTGAATAAACCCACTAGTTGCTATTGCTCGGTGGTACATTTGCTCAGAAGGATACTGTTATTCTCGTGGCTGCCTAAATCGAAACAAAGTGTTATTTTGCAATGTATCACCGTTACTTAAAACTTCTATTTTCCGGATTCTTACAGGGGATGATTTACGGAAGCTTTGCTATCAGAAAAATATACACGTACAGTTTGTTTTGAAATAGTTCTGGCATCTCAATTTCGGCAGATAATTCTCACGCTGGGAATTCCTGGTCAACGGACATTGCCAAAGAACATGTAACGTTAAGTTTGACAAACCTCATTGGTATCCTAACTGAATAAATAGAGGATATTCAATGTTTTGTAGATGAATATAGAATTTATTTCAAGAGTGGGACAGGATTTTTTTTTTATATAAAAATATGAAAATGTCAAACAAATTCTGTCTCACGAGTGAAATCAATTCCACATTCATCTACAAAACATTGAATTATCTGTTTATTACATTTTCTTAAAATTTTCCTTTGCCTCTCTCTTCGAAACACAGTGTCATAGGCTGTGACATCATAGTTGACCGGTTGTGACGTCATAGCTATAAGCGATTGCGAGATTGAAAAACTTTTTAACGACATATTTGGAAAAACTTTGCAGTATAACTAATCGTCTCTGTCAGGATGGCTCATTAACTCTATCTTATAACAGACCAGGGATTTAAAAAAAAAAAAAAAAAAAAAAAAAAAAAAAAAAAAAAAAAACTGTGAGAATACCATTTTGATACCCTTTCACACTGTGTCAGAATATCACTTTTATTCAGTAAATAAATAACAGTATTTCACTGTTGAAAATGTAATAATAAGTAACACTGTTTCTCTTCATCAGGATCTTTTATGTTGGAAAAACTCATTATGACTCATCGGATGCCTCCTTGAATTAAATTGACATAAATTTTAGTGAAAGGAAACATTAAATAAATTAATAAATAACCCTATATCACAAACAAGATCTCTGTTTTGCAGCTACATTTAATTACGTATAAATGCGAGATGTCTCCCTATTTCCTGAGCAGGCAGTGGTCTGACCTCATAACATACACTATTTCAGGAACCTGTAGATGTGTCAGAAACCTAATTTAACATTATGTTAATTTCATTTTAGCCTTTTATTAATTCCGAGACTATAATGAATGTGGGCAGTTATATATCTCTATACAGGTAATCCATCTTAATATTTAGAAAATTGTTCAGCTGATATAAACGCAAAAATCCAGTGTGTTTTTTTTTTAAATTCTCTAAAACATAGTTATACAGATGAAATGAATTTATCCTTAAATACCTATGCAAAACATTTGAATTCCGAGAACTGATGTTTTGGATTTAGCCCGGAAAGTCTTATTTATAAGGAATGGGTGATAACACCTATATAAAACTTGTGACCCTTATAATATTTGAATATAAATTATATGTAAAAATATATAACTTTATATTTATTAACATAAGGATGATAAATATAACTTAAAGCTATCGTGCAAAGTCATAAACCTATTACACGCAACAAGCAAAGCGGTGTCCGCCATATTTCTCTACTCTGCGATAGTTACAATTCCAAACATATGTGATTAATCGCTGTCACGGGCTATTGCACGTTTTCAGAAGGCTGAGTGTGCACACTAAGCCCTAAAATAAGTCAAAGTTGTACTGTCTTCCTCTAAATTTTAAAAACTAAATACAGTATGATAAAAAAAAAAAAAATAATGAAAATAAATTATATTTCACGAAGAAAGTACATAAAATAAATTAGGAAAAAGTAAGATATTACTCAAATTGCATAAAAGTATAAGATTTCCGCTAAAACCTATGCAAGAGCTTTTTACATTGCTTACCAGATACCGACAGTACAAGCTTGATCAGTTGAATGGATCATACGATAAGTAAAACAAAAGTTATAAAAGTATAGCAATATTTATCCAAAGATTTGTGTTTGGCGTACTCCAATACCGTACACACCAAGACCCTGTTACAAACAAAAACTGATCTGTCAAACAGGACTGTCCAGTTTTCTATAAATAGGATCTACTCACACTTCGGCATGTCATCCAGGGACCTGATATTATTTTATTCTATGTATCTGAGTGTTATACAATGTATCTACAAAAATTCATTGTAAACCGATGGTCGTTTACGGCACAACCCAAATGAATGTACACACTATGGATGCAAATATACGCTACAGTAACAAAAATGAAACACAAAAAGAAAAAAAAAATCAAAAGTTCAAGAAAAAATGAACCTGCTTATAAATAAATGTTCTGTTTATTCTATAATTTAGAACAGCAAATCAATTATTTGCCTAAACATTTTATACAGTAACAAAAATTCTTTATCAGGAAGAGGAGGTGGGGATTTACCGTAGAAACACAAGTACACACTTTCTTACATGTATATCCATGAATATTTGGCAGGCAAGTAGCATCAAGCCCCCCCCCCCCCACACACACACACAAATACACAGACACTTTTTCCAGACATAACTTTTTACTATAGAAAATATTCATTTTTTTGTTGAATTATACAAGTAAAGGTAATGTCCACCCCCCCTTTTTTTTTTTTTGCTTGTCAAGTTTTTTTTCTCTTTTTTTTTTCTCTGGGCTGCCACCCATCACAATTAAAATCTAAAAAAAAATACCCCAATATGCACATGTAACAAACACAAATATATGTATTTTTTTTAATTATATTTATATGCATAAATTTAGCCACAATCCAGGTTCAAATTTTAATGGAAAATGATTGTCTAAAAGCTCAGCGACATTCAGAGAATTTCGGTTTGTATTGTTCTTTTATACGGAGGAGGGGGGGGGGGCGAAAGTCGTCTAACTTGCTTTTTTTTTTGTTTACTAAAGATTTATATAGTC